TGCTGCGTCGACCTCCCTTGAAAATTGGTGTGATGTGAGCCAGCTTCCAAATTTCCGGTAGTTTGCCTCGGATTGGAGACAAATTTATCGACAAGCTTTATCTGGTACTGAAGCATGTTTTCTCTTACTGCCTCTGTGCATATGCTCCTTATATATTTGTATTGCGTGTATGCACCGTTGTTATCAGTAGAGCTGACATATTTAACCGTTTGAAATTCTAGCGCCTTTTGTTAATGGGATATCTTAGCTCAGTTTCGCTGACAAAACTGAAGGCTGTAACGGAGTAATCGCTTTGCCTCAGAGGAGCCAGGACTGAGAGGTTGTCAACTAGAAATTCTTGGTTTGTAAATACTCAGTCTAAGCGCGACGGTATCTGACTGTTTCCCCAACGAGTTGCCGACTTAACATTTTCGTATAATCCCAGATCCTCAATGAGGTTGAAGAACTGAGCTTCAGTTGATATTTCTTCCCAATATACGCATGTTACGCGAAGTCGACTCTAGGAAGATTGAAGTCCCCTAGAATCAGGATATGAGTGAGTCCGTGGCGCGTAGAGCGGGATGGTCCTCCCAGCAGCAGTGGGCTTCCTGTAGATGACAGCGACTAGGCTCCTCGTAATGGTAGACAATCGTACTGAACACCATACGGGTTAATCAACATTGTTAAACTCATGGTTGTGAACTTGGTGTACTTCCAGGCCGGATCGTATGTATAAATCCACTCCACACCCAATTTTCGTTTTTCTGTCATTACGAAACAGACATCCCAGGTATTGCTAGCTCCTGATCCGCAAACTGAGAAGATATCCAAGTTTCAGATGAGCTTTAATAACATTGCTAAGCTCATGTAGCTCATCCATTTTATTTGGAAGACTTGCGGCCTCCATGTGTAAGCAATTTATGCTTTCAATTTGAAATGCATGAGCTTCTCCTGTCTGTTCGTCTGTATGAGCCTTACGTGAAAAAACAGGTAGCCTACCTATACAAGACTTGCCGAGTTAGTAGGCCCTGTTCTTGACACGTGTTTTTATGAACAAGACAGTCCGCAAGTGGAATGGTCAGCTTCAACTTGCCTTTGTGCTTGGTCGTGGCGTCATGTGGCCTATGCGGGTGCATATAAATTCCAGTTGGCAACCGACGTCTGTTGGCACGTAATACTCCCAGAGTTGTAGCCGCCATATGGGAGGATGGGAAAGTAGTCCTCATTAGTCGGGGTCTAGAATCACCGCCGTTCTCGGCCAGTCTCGTCACATGTTGAGTCAGTATGTTTTTGAGCCTCAAGGACTGCTTGATGAATTTCCATTCCCTAATATCAGAGTTTCCTTGAATAGGATCCGTGTTTTCCGGTATACCTTGCACGATTATCTTAGATTCCTTTTCCCGATTGAGCCGTCTGACCTTCAAAAGCTCCATTCTAAGAAGTTCAAGCTTCTTGTTCAATTCACCCCAGAGCATCCTGTCATTTTCGTCCTGCAAACTAAGAGGAAGGTCAGGGTTGTCTATGAGGTTCATGATTATGAGAGAGCCATCACGAACCGTTATTGTTTTCCCAGGATTTCCGGTGCGTTCAGGTTCAGAACCTTGTTGTTTGGAGGTCAAAGCACGTTTCTGAATCCTAGGATCTTTGCTGACCGAACGGACATTCTTGTGGGTAGACCGTGAGACCAAATCATCATTTGGTTTCTGTAGAACACTTGGGATGTTCAGCTTAGATGGTGACGTCTGGTCCTTTTTAGCTCTGTTAACGTGGGTCCAATCACCTACAGAGTTTTTGGGAACCATTGTTGCATTCAAGGCCCCTGAGCTGGCAGACCCGTGTTTGCTAAGGGAGTCTATTAACCTCGAAGTAACGATGGTGCTGATTTTCAGCATGTCATCACTAGTGCTAATGCGTGTTCCATCCATAATAGACCTACCGACATCCCTATGTCCGTTTTCGTTGCGCGCCCTTGTTCGTCTACCCGTTTTGTGACTATCTTTTTCCAAGTTTGCAGACCTGTCAGTAGGACAATGATGTTACTCAGCAAAACAACAGAATCCGTAACGCACAAAACACATACCCACTTATGATTCGACCAGCTGAGTCTGTTGTAAGCAGTTGCTGTGAGATCTGTGCACGCTTCATGGAACCAACCTTTGTAGTTGTCGCACTGCATACCAGATGTAACAGCAAAACAGAATCCAGGTCGTTTGCGTGAATTTTTCATGACTATTTTGATGTAAACTGTATAGTAGATGCTAGTAAAAGCCTAAATGAATTACTTTTTAGCAAATTTCCAGAAGGCATGTGCAGTAAGAGCCGTATATGTTCGTACCCAAAATCAATTCTACACAATATAGATACAAATTCAAAGGAACTAACACTTTGCTAATTCTGCAGTTACTTACTTACCTACGCCTGTTACTCCCAATGGAGCATAGGCCGCCGACCTGCATTCTCCAACCCACTCTGTCCTGGGCCTTCTTTTCTAATTCCATCCAATTCTTGTTCATTTTTTTCATGTCTATTTCCATTTATCGGCGTAATGTGTTCTTTGGTCTTCCTCTTTTCCTTTAGCCTTGAGGATTCCATGTGAGGGCTTGTCTTGTGACGCAGTTGCGTGCTTTCCTCAATGTGTGTCCTATCCACTTCCAGCGCTTCTTCCTCCGCTGGGATCTGGTTTGTTCTCTCCCACAGTACGTTGTTGCTAATAATGTCCGGCCAACGGATCCGAAGTATTTTTCGTAGACAACTGTTAATAAACACTTGTATTTTCTGGATCATGGCTTTTGTTGTTCTCCGGGTTTCTGCCACATACAGTAGAACTGTCTTGACATTTGTATTGAAAATCCTGACCTTGGTGTTGGTTGACAGGTGTCTTGAGTTCCAGATGTTCTTCAGTTGTAAATATGCTGCTCTTGCCTTATCGATCCGCGCATTCACATCCGCATCAGATCCACCATGTTCATCAATGATACTGCCCAAATATGTAGTGGTTTTTACATCTTCCAAATCTTCTCCGTCAAGTGTGATTGGACTGGTGCATTCTGTGTTGTATCGGAGAATCTTGCTTTTCCCTTTGTGTATATTGAGACCTACTGCCGCTGAGGCTGCTGCCACACTGTTCGTCTTCTCCTGCATTTGTTGTTGCGTTTGGGCTAGGAGGGGCAGATCGTCTGCGAAGTCTAGATCGTCCTACTGCATCCTAGATGTCCATTGTATCCCGTGTTTCCCTTCAGATGTTGACGTCTTCATGATCCAGTCGATCACCAGGAGAAAGAGAAAGGGTGAGAGTAAGCAACCTTGCCTAACACCAGTCTTCACTTCGAACGACTTTGTGAACTGCCCTCTGTGCACAATTTTGCAGTGTAATCTATCATATGAGTTCTGTATGATATTGACTATCTTCTGAGGCACACCGTAGTATCGAAGAAGCTTCCATAGTGTTGTTCTGTCCACGCTATCAAATGCCTTTTCGTAGTCAATGAATTCGATGTAGAGTGATCAATTCCATTCAATTGATTGTTCCACAATGATCCGTAGAGTTGCGATTTGGTCTGTACACGATCTATCCTTACGGAATCCTGCCTGTTGGTCACGAAGTTGGGCGTCTACGCAGTCCTTCATCCTGTTTAATAATACCCTGTTGAAGACTTTCCCTGGTATTGAGAGAAGAGTGATGCCCCTGTAGTTATCACACTTGCTGAGATCGCCTTTCTTCGGTATTTTGATCAGAAGTCCTTCTTTTCAGTCTTTTGGTACTCGTTCCTCATCCCAAATCTTATTGAAGAGAGTGTGTAGTACCCTTGCAGTTGCCGCTACGTCTGCTTTTAGTGCCTCTGCTGGGATGTTGTCCGGTCCTGCTGCTTTGCCACTCTTGATTTGTCTGATGGCCATGCTGATTTCTTCAATTGTTGGTGGGCCAACATTGATTGGGAGGTCCGTGGGTGCTGCCTCGATGTTGGGTAGGTTCAGTGGAGCTGGTTGATTCAAGAGTTCTTTGAAGTGTTCTACCCATCTGTTTTGTTGCTCTTCAATGTTGGTGATTACCTTGCCTCCCTTGCTTTTCACTGGTCGTTCTGGTTTGCGGCAATTTCAAGAGAGTTTCTTTGTCCTGTCATAAAGTTGTCGCATGTTTCCTTCTCTTGCAGCCTTTTCCGCTGTCGTTGCTAAATCTTCCACATATTTACGTTTGTCGGTTCTGATGCTCCTCTTCACTTGTTTGTTTACTTCTGTGTATTTGGCTTGTGCCTTGGCTTTTTCTGCTCTTGTTCGACTGGTATTGATTGCTGCCTTCTTGTTCCTCCTTTCTTGAATCTTATCCAGTGTATTAACAGTGATCCATTCCTTGTGATGGCACTTCTTGTGACCCAGAACCTCATGACATGTTGAAGTGATTGGCTCTTTGATGCCCTTCCAGTTGCTCTCCACAGTAGTTCCTTCTCCATTGAGTAGATCATGAAAGGCTTGGAACTTGTTGCTGAGGACTATCTTGAATTTGTTGAGTTTGTCAGTATCCTGAAGAAAGGCCGTATTGAACTTTTGTGATATTGTCTGCCCCATTGTCCAGTGCTTCTTGAGTTTCAATTTCATCTTGGCGACCAGCAAGCGATGATCTGATGCTATATCAGCTCCTCTCCTGGTTCTCACATCCTCTATAGTCCCCCTGAACGTTTTGTTGATGCAAATATGGTCAATTTGGTTTTGCGTGGTGTGATCCGGTGAAGTCCATGTGGTTTTGTGTATGCGTTTATGTGGGAATATGGTGCCGCCTATGACCAGTTTATTGAAGGCACATAGGTTTGCAAAGCTCTCACCATTTTCGTTTCTTTCTCCCAGTCCGTGTCGTCCCATGATTTTTTCATATCCAGTGTTGTCCAATTCTGCAGTGTGTGATGATTAAGCAAGGTTGCATGTCATGCAGGTAGCTTCATTGGTAGTTTTATGGGGTTAAAGTGTTATATAAAAAGGTTTTAACTTTTGTAACGACTAGTCACAAATACATGTGATAAATGATGCGATTTTGTTTAGACTAATCAAACAACTTGTACCGACAAGCAGTGGGTTTTGAGGATTATTGGTTGGTGTACGTGATTTAGTCTTCGGTTTGTTAGGTGTGTTGAGTCTGCTGGATTTAATTCGGTTGTAGTAAACTAAGTCGTCCTTTTGCATCCTCCATTCACTAAGAGGTACTCTAAGGCCCCCTTTGAGATTTGAAGTGGGATATTTGGGTCGTTAATATTCCATTTGACATGAAATGGAATAGACTTTTCAACTTTGGTATTATTAGTCTGCGGGGAGTAGGGATATTTCGTGGTTATTCCGACATTACCAGAGTGGTAAGTATTGAAGTACAGTTATAGTCTGTGACAAACAAACTTGGGCGCCGCTCAAGCTACCTACGTTTGGACAAAATTAATCAGTTTTGGGACAGTCTCAATGACAATTGTGGGTGAATTTTGGGATAATACCACGAAATGAGACTCAAATCTGCATATAATTAGGGGTTTCCCCCTAAATTTACACAGGGCTAGGATGTTTTTGAGCATTTATATGAATTCAAACACTCACTATAGCCTGAAAGCTGTCTCCAACTAGTTGAAAGCAGGCTTTCAGTTTGCGGCCTGATTTTCGATTGTCAGGTCTGTTATTTCCTGTTAGTCAAGAAGAGGCATGGATACCAATGTATTGTTTGAAACTTTTCAGGTATATCGCGGCATGGCTCCTTACAGGATCGTGTTTATCCGCCACGGAGAGAGTGTTTACAATGAAGAAAATCGATTTTGTGGTTGGCACGATGCAGACCTTTCAGGACAAGGTATCACTGAAGCTAAGCAAGCTGGCCAACTTCTTCACCAAAATCATTTCACCTTTGACATCGCCTATACAAGTGTTCTAAAAAGAGCCATCAAGACTTTAAACCTTGTCCTTGATGAACTTGATCTTAACTGGATACCTGTGATAAAGTGCGTTATTCTGGTTTTTCATTTTTTATGTTGTGTCACTCGAGTGTTTCATGTGACTTTGATTTTCATCCCTCTTTTCAAAATTTTCATTACGAGTTTATGATACTGTCAGTGATCCTGTTGACAGTCGCGGGAAATATATCTGAAATAGTTGCACATTTCATAGTTAAGATCCGCTGGAAACCAGCAAAGAGTAGCGTCCAGAAATTATAGACCTACTTAACCCACTTATCCATGTTCTGTTCCTTCCAAAGTAAGCGTTATACTCCCCCATTTCGGCATGACAAGAAAAATATTTGGTAGGGTTTGCGGAATATAGTACGTCTCCTTGTCTCTCCCACAACTGCTTTTAGATCAAAATAGGGGAGTTAAAAAGATAGCAACACTTAGTTCACAATTAAGGTAATTAAGCCTCCAAATCAAATAGATCCTACAATCCAAATTAATGTAATTTAGTAGTCTCCCATTGTTTCAGAGCCAAGTAACTTCAATTTATATTCACTAGCAGTAATAAAACTTCTATTTCTCGGTCATGAGTTTTGTTTTGTTCTTGTCAAATGTAGCGAAAGAAACGAGAGAATAATTCTAGAGTTCGACGTAGAATAATAAGTAAAAGTAGCAGTTCGATTATTCAAAAAACTATTGGGTTGGTAGATGAAGATATGTCAGTTTGCAAAATTTATTGAGTTTTGCTTTCAAATATATACAGTTCTCGTTAGATTGCAAATACCTTCACATGTATTTACAAGATATTGGTAGTTGCCCGTCAAATAAACTTGTTAGGATCGCACTTTCTTATAACCTGCAAAAGTTCATCCTATTGTGTTTGTTATAGACCTCGTAAGAGCACACCTATGTAACAAATAACCTCTGATTATTCCTCTACCTAATTCTCGAAAATCTCGATTAGCTAACAACATACTGTTCAAACTTACAATCTAGTCTTCGTTATCATCCTCCCTAATTCGCTTGTCAATTTTCACTCAACGAGTGTTTTGTCCGTATCACTGCTGGTGTATCTCTAGTCCTACTGCGTATTTATTTATTTATTTGAACACATGAATATTGGTACAAGAGAGCGCCAATATATATGCGCCACACTCTGTGTGTGGGCTGTGATACTGCCCGGGTGCCCAAACCGAAGCAGGTGGTTATCTTAGGGGGCCACTCCCCGAGCCTTTGACCTAAAGGTCTAACCCACAAGGCAGTGGAGCATCGTAAGGAGATGCAATCCCATGGTAGCCGGTGACCAAAGATTGGTTCATACGCCATTTGTTCCCGCAGGATACTGGAGCCCATGTGCACCATTGGTTTGGGATCCGGTTAAAGCGCCGGACATTCGCTTTTCGTCCTCTCATTTTCGTAAACAACACCCCCGCCACGAGAAGGCAATGAGTAGGACTTCCCTGGCAGAGGCTGTATACGCGTGGCCGTGTGAGAGTATTTCGAGAGGGAGAGCGGACTCTCCTCACTCTCGGCCGTACCAGGGCATTCGGGGGCTTACTGCGTATTTATCCAAACACAAACGTTGGTACATGGAGGCACCAAATATATATGCGCCACATCTCGCCATTCGAATTTATGGGGGCTGAAGTACCCAGGTGTCCAAACTGAAGCAGATAGTTTTCTGAAGAGAACACTCCTTGAGCCTTTAACCTGAAGTTCTAACGTACTAACCAGTGGAACAACGTAAGGAGATGAAGTTTTATGGTAACCCGTGACCAACAATAGGTTCATATGCCTTTTGTTTTCTTAGGGTTCTGGAGCCCATGTGCACCAGTAGCTTGGAATGCACGTTTATATACTAGTATTTACATATACTTAATGTTCTTACATGGGGGCAAATACATTGTTGCTGCAGAAACACTGAATGTAATCCACATAGATGAATACATAGAATCAATTAACAAGAGATAGTCACCTAAAATAGTGTTACCTTTTTGTCCCATCTTATCGCGGAAGTTGTTCCGGTTTCCTTGTTCATTTTTACCCACTATTTCATCGAACACAAATTTTCTGGTTTTAATTTCATGTAAGCTAACCTCTAGATTAAACAAAAGTACACTTGACAAGTTTTATTCTAAAATACTGACTTTTAAAATTCATATGTTTTCTATTTACCACAGAACATGGCGTCTAAATGAAAGGATGTACGGTGCTCTTCAAGGTTTAAATAAGTCTGAAACCGCTGCCAAACATGGAGAAGAACAAGTTAAAATATGGAGACGTGCTTATGATATACCTCCCCCTCCTGTTGATACTTCAGATCCTCGCTTCCCCGGTAATGAGCCAAAGTATGCCGTAAGTATTTTCATTGCTCTTAAAGATATTTTTTAAAAAAACATTATGGACTGAACTTATCATACTCCTTATACCGATTAACGTATGTACCAGGTCCTACATTATACAGGGCTGAGTTTTAAACTCGTTTATTCTATAATTCGTCAACCTGTTCAATTTTTCACATATTCTTAATCCCCTAAAGTGAAATATACTTATTCACCCTGATATACTTCTTCACCCGGTCACATTGCTGGTTGAAACGGGTGCAGTCGCTACACCTGGTTATAAAAATCATGTCTGGTTTTATATTGATTCATAAGGATCTGTTTATGTAGTATTTGTTTTTTCAATCCGGTCATTAGATAACGGAAGCTCAGAAATGACCTCATTTAACTACGAACATATTGTAGACCGTACAGTCCAGATTCTGTTCACACATTAATCTCAAAAGTCCTAAATATTCCAACAATTTCAATACAATATTAAAACCTAGTTACCAGTTTTAAACCTTTGATGTAGCATAGACATTAGATTTATCTATTAGAAGTTCGATCAGAAAAGTGCTTACGGTTGGTCTCTTTTCTGGGAATATATATACTGGACTCAACAGTAATATTAGGATTTTATAAATATTAACTGCAGTTTGTACGATCATAACATACTTAATATGTGTGCGTAATGAACGAAGTTTGGCGTTTAAGAATTTAATTTTACTGGCGATCGCTTGACTGATGAACTAGAAATATTTTCTATACTTTTCAGTCACATACTTTAACTCAACAAAACCCAATGGCATACACAAACATTAAGAACCCTTAAGAACTTTCGTCTAAATTTGAACGAATAGTTTCACAATATTTGGGCGCCGAGTTAATTTGAGACATTAAAAAGAAGAATATATTTGTAAAATCTCAGCGAATGAATTTTAAGTAAATCCAACGTTTCGCCTGGCAATCTGGTCCAAGCTTTTTCAAGGAAAATATATTTTCCTTGAAAAAGCTTGGACCAGATTGCCAGGCGAAACGTTGGATTTACTTAAAATTCATTCGCTGAGATTTTACAAATATATTCTTCTTTTTAATGTATTAAGAACCCTTGTTTAGACTTTCTAAGCACACACATGAGTGTGAATATAATTTATGGACGATCTTTGAGCGATGCTAAAGAGACCATGAGAATATCCACCTACATACTACGGCTAAATAAATGTTATAAACCAGTGTAAGGGATTAGGACTAATATTTACAGTTGGTAGTTAGGGTTAGGAATAAGATATATGGTTTTCATCACGAACTGACATCTATAATGCCAAAACTTTATTTAGCCAAATGAATGATTGAATTTTGGGCCATAATTCAAGACCTGTTATCATAAATCTGATTGGTTCGTTCATAAATTATAGTCTCTCTCATTCATGCTATACCACTTTTGCAAAGTGCCACCTGGTAAAAAACGACTGTGATTTACCATTACGTCTTGAAACCAAATTCACTGAACTTCTTGGTCTTTTCATGTAGTACATGTATTCTCATGTTATCTGTTTCTGTACGTGCGGCGAAAAGAATGCTTCCTGCTTTCACCTTAAAAATATTCCGGAGCGTTAGCATTCGTATTTAAAATAAACATACATCTACTAGATTAGATAAACTCGTAAATCGTTGGTGAATTGTTGTGTCCTGTACTTGATTACGGCAGAATACGATATGCGACTAACGCCACTCGAACGTGTAGAACCCCGTAGTCTCGAATCAAAAGACGGAAGAAGCAAGGATTGTTGGGTAAGAATCAAAAATTTACAGAAAAACATGGGTATTTGTAGTTATTAGTATTGGCTATAACATCATTACAATTCGGCCGATCCGCAAAAAGCAAGTCATGCTATTGTCCAATCTTAGCATGCCCCGTAGTATTCTAAAAGTTTCTATCAGGTTCTGATTGGATGGAATTTCTGGCTCCTGTAGAGCCCCTAGAGGATTTGTCGTGCTTTTCGAAGCAGTTCCGAAATGAATAATTATCTGTAAATGACACTGTTAGATTTTTAGCGACAAATCCACGCTTTATTTGTAGATGAAAAATCAACAAGTACAAGCTAAAAGTAATAATTTGGAGTATATGAGTTTCCCTATAAAATCCCACATTATTTTTACTGTCAGAAGTCACAAGGTTTTACACACCAGTAATTATATTGGTCATCAGTTGGCTCTGTTCTTCTTTATGGCTGCGAAACATTCTTTAAAAATAGCGACTGTTCGTAAATTACTAGTTTTCAATTATAGGTATCTTCCAACCATTACTCATATATTATGAAATCATTGTCCTAGCAACGCAATAGTTAGACAGATTAATAGGTAAGGATGGTAAGTCGATTGATGAAACAGTATCACAGCCCTCACACAAATCAATAATAACTACTATTGGTCTCATCGCTATTGTGTGGCGCCTATATATTTGGTGCCCCCTTGTACTAATGTTTATGTGTTCAAATAAATAAATAACCATTGGCTGAGATGGTTAAGATATGTATTATGTATCCCCATCCATCGGCTACATCAACGCGCAATAATTACTGGTGTAGGACCCCTAAATGCCCCGGTGCGGTCGAGAGTGGGGAAAATCAACTCCTCTCGAAATGCTCTCAAGTGGCCACGTGCATATAACCACTACCAGGGAAGTCCTACTCACTGCCTTCTCGCGGCTGCGGTGTTGTTTAGGAAATTGAGAGGACGAACAGCGAATATCCGGTGCTTTAAACGGGCTAGTGCATATGGAGGATTCACCTAAGAGAGTTAGAAAATCATGATTGTAAACTATTGGTGCACATGGGCTCCGGGATCCTAAGAAAACAAATGGCGTATGGACCTATTGTTGGTCACGAGTCACCATAAGACTGCATCTCCTTGCGTTGCTCCACTAGCTTGTAGTTTATATGTTTAGGTCGAAGGCTCCGGGTGTGGCCCCCTAAGAGAAGCACCTACTTCGACTTGGACGCCCTGGCAGTATTATAGCCCTCACAGCCCATAAAGTCACTGACTGTTGAGCTAAGCCAATTGGGTAGACAAACTTCCCTGGTATAATCATCTATGTTAATGCCCACTTTGCTTATTTTTATGATCCTGTTTTGTAACTTTCAGTTATAAAGTGTTAACGTTCGCACTAATATTCACCCATCTTTATCGTTCTTATATCTGTGTAATATCCACTAAACTCAGTTGGGTTGTTAATACGATAAAAACATCTGGCAAACAACACAGAAGTGTTAGTCGATAGTCATTAATGTATGTTTTGTAAACTAATTACGCCAGAGTTAAGTAATAAGAATTCATCGGTGTGTTGTACTTTGCTCCAGCATATATCCTACTTTTGATTTTTCGACATTATTTTATCAATCACGTTTTTGGGGTCTTGAAACTATATGAAAGGCAATGAGGCATTCATTAAATAAAGCAGTTCAAATTAAAGGCAGTATTTTCGTTTTGTTTCTGTTTGCAAACCATGAAATCTGTAGTTGTATAAATTATCTAATTCTGTAACTCGAGATTTTATCAGCCACTCATCAAAATCCCTAATAATGTTATATCAGTTTTAACTTACTGTACTAAAAAAAGTGACGAACTTTTTTAGTAAGTAGAAACTCTTAGGATTTTCGCATTTCAATTGCTTGCTTTAGCATTTGTATTTGTATCAGCATATTATTCTCTATCCCCTGTGTTAGCGGTACATAGATAGGATTAGATCGTTCAATGCACGCTTGCGTTGGCGCACACTGATTGGCTAATTGTTATTCAATCAGCGTTAGTCAATACTTAGTGAACACTCCAGAAACCTTCTCATGTGAAAAACTATAAATATACTAACTTTTTCCCTATCGTGCTTCTTGTTTCCATCTAACCTTATTATTTGGAATATAATGTCTTTCCTGTTCAACCGTGTTCTGATTTGGGGACTTGTCGAGTGATTTGTTGTCCAAGAATACTAAGCAGTAGGAATAGCTGGGTTATAACCGTAAGAGAGAAATATAACACCCGGACTCGCAACACTTGTTTTTGTTTATATGATACTTTTCTTTATACATCTACATTACAAAGTTCCATGATTTAAATTATAGTGATTTCATCTATTTATTTGGAGATCCGGGCTTCGGAGCTTCAACATGCTAATATCCAGCCTCCATATAAGCGTAATTTAAAGCCTAACACATAAACCTCTACTGTATCACGAACTGTTTTTATTGATAATTGTATTACTTTACAATTATATGTTTGGAAATATACCAGTATTTGTATACTTCATTCATTGTGATCATAGTTGAGAGAGAACGTAAGTGTTTACAGTCGTAAACAGGATTCCAGATTTCTCAAACGTTTTTACACTAGTTACAGCTCTTTTGTTACCTGTTTCTGCTTGTGATATTCAGTTACTTTACTGCATACTTACATGACGCAAGCTTGATATTATCTTAATGATTGATTTCGTTTTCAGTTACTTGACTCTTCCTGCATACCACGTACTGAGTGTTTGAAGGACACTGTTCAACGTGTACTGCCATTTTGGTTTGATACTATTTCTGCAAGCATCAAGGTATAAACATATTACATTTTTTCATTTCAAACACAATTTTTGTTTCATCAGTTTTACATTTTCTGATATATTATCATTCTATTTAGAAACTGGAGACTCTTTATTTCGTCAAACATTTAACAATCACTTTAATCGACTATAAATTCATCTGTATTTCAAAGGTATCGATTAAGTATGATACAATGTAAATAAGAGTACTTACATTTTGATAAACAATTCAGGATAACTATAGTGAAAGTAGGTTATTTCGAATGTAATGGTAATATTAGGTAGCGGTGATATTGTAATTTGTATGTTTTCATATTATAGAATCTAGCGATTACCTTTCGAAATGTAGAATTCTAAAAACTGTAAGGCTATATTGTAAAATGGTATTATCTAAAAATTAAAGTAGCTGTGCCCGCTAGTGGAAATGTATTTAAGCATTACTTGTCACTCAAATATAAAGTGTTCATTCTGTGACTAAAAAACTCCTTATGTGGTCTTTTTGATAGCCTAACCTACATTGATTGTGTAGTATCAAGTTAGCAGATAGGTTAACATTATTCGAGACCAGTTTACTCATCAAAATAAACTTGAATCCAGTTCGTTAGTCCAATAAAAGAAATCAATTTTCATCTAAAAAATTCCAAAACACTTAAAAGTCTACATAAAAGGAGTTTGATCAACATTTTATACTTTCTTTGAGAGCTTTTTTCATGTTGATTAGTCAATAGTCAGTCATTTCTGCTGAGTTGTATCTTGTTTCTACTACAACTGATAATCTACTAATGTAACATCTTGACGCATTACAGTCAGTCTTCACTAATAAAAACTGATCATAAACTAGCTCTGAAACTAGTTTTATTTTCGATCACTTGGACTTGCACAATTTTCCCCATTGATAAACTTGGCTTGCTGTTCTTGCTTTGTCAAACTTGCTCGTGTGATAAGGACCTCTTCCTGGAGGTTTCGGAAATCCATCCCGCCCATTCGCCTAGTAACAGAATTTAAATATTAAACGGATCAGATTAATTTAAAATATAAAAAAAGCGGATATCATCAATGTTTTCACCTGATAAAACTTCTATTATATAACTGGACTAAGTCCTATTTTACTAGTTGGATTAGTTTAGACGATTAGACGTTTTTAGACAATTAACAATAACACACACAAACGAGGACTTTTTAATATTATCAATTTTCTTACTTATTTTGTGCTGTATTTGACTGACGTCGTGGTTCATTCCTTCTATAAATTTAGAGGCACGAACAGGTTCTGATTGTCGCCCATGGAAACAGTTTACGAGCGCTTATCAAGTACTTGGATAATACATCGGATTCAGATATTGTAGAGCTTAATATACCCACTGGTTAGTTTAGTGTTGTTTTTTCTAGCTTGACATTAATAAATATATCGCTGATAATTTTCTTAGTTATCCCACGGAATGGTTTTTGCGAAGAATTTGATCCTTTCTTGTATCTTTTCGATTTCTAAACATATTTGGTATTGTGATTGTTAAGCGTCAAGGATATATTACGTATGATACTTGTGAAAAGTTGGTGTTGTCATGATAGTTAGTTTAAAATATCTTCATTCTTTTTAAAAATTTACTTGAGTTTGTCCGAAAATTTTGAAATATCTTTTGACACTATTTGCCTGTTTGTTTCAATGTGTAAATAACTTATAACAATATTCTGGGTGCTCTTTTTTAAGAAAAGTTACTCTTTTATTGACTTCGTAAACCAAACGGCTGGTAATTCGTTTTGTATTACAGTTTATCAAGAAACTCGTTTACTAAAGTATTAAATGATTTTCGGAAATTAGAATTAGCATTCGTTAGTTATAAACTAATTTTATTAAATTCGTGAAACACTAAGACTGATTGTTACCTTTATATCGAATGGCATATTTTTTGTGCACATAACATATTTGTATTTTGAAACCTGTAGACGAGTAGTCACTTAGGAGAGAAGAATTGCATAAAACGTCTTTTTCTTAACCTTCTGTATTCTCGTGATATTACGTAATAAAATTATTTGAGATATTTTAGAACTGTCTCTCCTATCATTTATATGATCTCTGCTAAAACTTTAATTCTTAACATAATTTGCACTTTACGGTTATGGTAAGATTTCAAATCACTAAGCTTATTAGCTTTTATGTAACTGGGGCGAAACAACAAAACGGTCGATTCATTGTATTCTGCAAATATTGCCGTTCTTGGTTCACAAAATGGTACGTTAAAATATCAAACCAATACTGAATAACTTGTTCGACAAAACCATAAATAAAGAGAACAGTAAATACAATTGGCATGGAAAATCAGTTGATGAAATATAAAACCTTGAGTAGTTACTGGGCTTCCTCAACATGACATGACTAATTAAGTTCATTAAGAAAAGGTTGATTAGCTAATGGTATGAGTAATGTATAACAGCTGGCTAACCCTCGAAGTTTTGTTAACCTAATTGCACAATTTCGTGATGAAGCTAAATAATACCGTTTGGTACACTAACGTTCAATGTATTTTGCGTTTTTCTAGGTATTCCACTAGTTTATGAACTGGATGCGAACTTGAAGCCAACCAAACACTATTATCTTGCCGATGAAGCGACAGTAGCAGCCGCTATAGCACGTGTGGCGAACCAGGGAAAAAAGAAATGAAGCGAAGAATGATCCCTATCGATAATTGCTTCATTATTCATTCATCCACCAATATTTATACATGTTTTGGATAATTTTAGTCATCTATAGCTTACAGTAATGAACAGATACTCTGATCGTCCTTACTCATAATCGTACTGTACGAAGTAAATATTTTCCTTCATAGCGTTTGTTTTGCATGTTATAGTTATGGCCAATAAAAATGATCGAAAATATACCAGGATTTTTTGTAGTTGGGATTAGGAGACCGCAGGAAATGTTATTGGAATTCGATGTTAATCCACATCACTGAATGTACGGTATATTCTATTGAGATGATGGAAGCGATGTTTTGTTAAGGAGGAGGATTTAAAGTGACATGTTTCTTGAGCTTGATGGGTTCTTTCTGTCCGAACTATTTGCCTCAAAGAACAAAACATTTATCGTTTCATCCTGTAATAAATCACAATCACCCAAAAAACTTGAGTAGCAAGCAGTAACCTTGATATTTATCCTAGTATTCAAATCTGAACCTGTTTGTTTCATGGGTTCTACTAATATTTCATTGCGAACTTTCATGCACAGCTTAAGCGCAAGCTGACAAGAAGTCTACGCAATGATCGCGAACAGTGGTGGGTAGCGAAAGCAAGAGAGATGGAAAAGACAGCTGCAATAGGTAATAGCAGACAATTGTTCAGACTCGTTAAGGAAACCGGAATTAGGAACCCGACCGTTAGCGAAACAATCTCAGAGAAAGATGGACATATTATTCATTCTCCATCAAGGAGATTGGATCGATGGGCAGAACACTTTAGGGATCAGTTCAACTGGCCTTCAGCCACACTTCGGTTTCCCACGATCTCCAGTCTACCTGAATGGCAAGTTAATGTAAGTCCTCCGTCCCTTTACGAGCAGCAGGCCCTGACAGGTTTACTCCTGAGATTTTTAAGGATGGTGGTCCAGTATTAGCAGTGAGATTAACTGAGGTCTTAGGTAGAATTTGGGAACTGGACGTAATCCCATCTGACTGGTCTCAATCATTGATTGTGCCAGTCTATAAGAAAGGACAAAAGTCCTATTGTGACAATCACAGAGGAATCAGTTTGACTAATATAGTGTCTAAAATATTAGCTTCAATAATAATTCGACGCCTAACCAAAGCTCGTGAAGAACAAATTAGAGAAAATCAGGCTGGTTTTCGACCTGGACGTGGTTGTATAGACCACATGTTCACACTACGTCAGGTTCTAGAACATAGACACACATTCAGACGCCCCACAGTGGTAGTATTTCCCGACCTTAAAGCAGCATTCGACTCTGTTGATCGTGAGGTTCTATGGCAGTGTTTGTCACTGAAAGGAGTACCAAAGAAGTATATTAACCTTATAAAAGCTCTCTACTCCAACACAACTGGTCGAGTGAGAGCTTATGGCGAACTGTCATCAGAATTGATTACCACAAGTGTTGTTCGTCAGGGCTGTCCACTCTCTCCATTCTTGTTTGACTCTATCGTAAACGTGCTTTTAGAGATAACACTCTCCTCATCTAAATTTCCGGGGGTTGAACTTCTACCGGGAGGTTCACTTGTTGACTTAGAATATGCTGATGACATAGTTCTATTTGATGAAGACGCTGACAAAATACAGTCTTCTGACCACTCTAAGCAACAATGCAAGCATGTTCTGGATGCAATTCTCCCCCTCGAAATGCAAAATGTTGCTTCAGGATTGGGTTACATCGACACCCGAAATAGTGATAGGGAGTGATGTAGTTGAGTGTGTCGACCGCTTCACTTATCTTGGAAGTCTCATCTGCCCTTGTGGTCTGGTGTGTGACGAAATCTCAGCACGGATACAGAAGGCTCGACTAGCTTTTGCCAACTTGCGTCATTTATGGCGTAGGCGAGATATCCGTCTATCAACCAAAGGACGTGTTTACTGCGCAGCAGTTCGTTCCATCCTACTTTATGGCAGTGAGACATGGCCGGTAAGAGTAGAGGATATTCATAGGTTACTAGTATTTGATCATAGGTGTCTTCGAAATATTGCTCGTATATCCTGGGACCATCGAGTAAGTAACACAGTTGTTAGGAAACGGGTACTAGGTAAGGATGGCAAATCGATTGATGAAGTAGTGAAACTTCATCAGTTGAGATGGCTGGGACACGTGTTACGTATGCCCAACGACCGACTGCCTCGACGTGCTATGTTCAGTGGTATAGCAGTAGGTTGGAAGAAAGCTAGGGGCGGCTATACCAAAACATGGCACAAATCCATGAAGTCACTGACAACTTGACTGAGCCATGTTGGCAGGTGTAGACTACCTGGTTGGGGACCACAGGATGATAGCAACCGATGGTTAGAGACCCTGAATGACATGGCTCAAAATGGTTTGCAATGGCGCAGGTGCACACACTCTATGTGTTCTCCCAAATTCTAATCTTCTGAATTCTCCATGTCCCTTTTTTCCTTTTTCCAAATTTATTTCACTGGATTATACTCTTTAAATAACATCTCCAAACCCTAATCTTCCCTATTACTGCTTATACTCTTGCTACCTCTACCAATACGGGATTTGAATCGACAACTGCATCTCTGTGCTAATGTGGTGTGGCAACTCGAACTGATGTACGTACGTACGAAGTTCTATGTTGTTACTGACTGACAACGTTTACTCGAATAAATCGGGAATGATATTTCAACAGAACAATGTACCTTCGTGGATCTACAATTTAAAATATTATTATTAACCATTCATAATATAAATAGACAGGTAGAGTGGCGATTGAAAGCCCCCCAATGCTCCGGTACGGCCGAGAGTGGGGAAAGTCAGCTCTTTCTCTCGAAATGCTCTCACATGGTCACGTGCATACAAGCACTACCAGGGAAGTCCTACTCACTGCCTTCTCGCGGCTGGGGTGTGTTAGCGGGACATAGACTGGATTAAAGCATGCTCAATGCACGATTGCTTTGGTGCACGCTGATTGGCTAATTCTTATTCAATCAGCACCAGTCGATAGTTGGAGAATACTCAAGAATCTTCTCATGTAAAAATTATAAATTTGACGTTTCTCCCTATTGTGCTTCTTACTTGCATCTTACTTCCATCTAACCTTGTTATTTGGAATATAATCTCTTTCCTGTTCAACCGTGTTCTGATTTGGGGTCTTGTCGAGTGATTTGGTGTCCAAGAATACTAAGCAATAGTAATAGCTGGGGTCATAACCGTAAGAAAGAGATTATAACAGGGTGTTGTTTAGGAAACTGAGAGGACGAACAGCGAATATCCGGTGCTTTAAACGGGCTGGTGCATATGGAGGATTCACCTAAGAGAGTTAGAAAATCATGATTGTAAACTATTGGTGCACATGGGCTCCGGGATCCTAAGAAAACAAATGGCGTATGGACCTATTGTTGGTCACGAGTCACCATAAGACTGCATCTCCTTGCGTTGCTCCACTAGCTTGTAGTTTATATGTTTAGGTCGAAGGCTCCGGGTGTGGCCCCCTAAGAGAAGCACCTACTTCGACTTGGACGCCCTGGCAGTATCCCAGCCCTCACAAAAACCGAATGATTTATGTGGTGTACATCCTTGTACCAATTTTTGTGTGTTAAATAAAAATTGAAGAGATAACACAAAGTATGGGTTGATCAAAAGCAATATATTTGCATGTACTTGTAGTAGTCGTCTATTGTTTAGGAATTCTCGCAAAATAATGACGAATGAAGAGAATTCCAATACATTTTCATCACATCCGAATTATCAGTCAGACCTTTGGGTCAAAGGCTCGGGGTGTGGCCCCCTAAGAAAACCACTTGCTCCGGTCTGCATACCCGGGCAGCATCACAGCCCACACACAAAGAGTATGAAAATTACGATATTTAGTGAAAACACTATTCACGCTTCGCTTTACAGTCAAACAATTCACATTATTATTATTTACTACGTCATTTATTCACTCTCTTTTATTCCCGGTTTATGTATCCTTATTTTTCGACTTATACAGCAGTTCGCCTATGGTGGAAACTCGGTTCTATCTAAACGTTCACGAGTCACTGCCTGGTTGAAAATTGTATGCTACCACCAAATACGAATACTGAAGCAGTTTTTCTGAAACCACTTTGCAGTCTGGTTTTCGTTCTGGTGGAGGATGTATTGATCATATCTTCACCCTCCGCCAAATGTTAGAACACCGTCATACTTATCAAAGGCCAACAATCGTAGTGTTTCTTGACATCAGGGTTGCCTTCAATTCGCTAGACAGGATCGTTCTCTGGGATTGTCTATTGAAGAAGGGTATGCCTGAGAAGTTTATTAACATCCGAAAAGCCCTATATACAAACACCTCAGGCAGAGTGAGGGCATACAACCACCTCTCTCCATTGTTCCATTCGAGTAGTGGGGTTAGGCAGGGTTGCCCAATCTCACCATTCCTCTTCAACTTTGCCATCGATGACATTCTGGAAACAGCTCTGATGAATGTAAGTAATGGTGGTGTGGATCTGTTGCCTGGAGAAAGACTTCTCGACCTTGAATATGCGGACGATATTGTCTCACTGTGCGATAATGCCCAAGGCATGCAATCCTCACGTAATCGGTTGGCAATCAGTGTCCGTAGGTTCGGTATTTGCTTTGCATTTTCGAAGTGCAAAGTACTTCTACAAGACTGGCAGGATCCTAATCCTGTACTCACCGTGGTTGGTGAGCAGATAGAAGTAGTCGAGAAGTTCGTGTATCTAGGTAGCTGCATAAGTGCTGGTGGTGGCGTGAGTGACGAGATCAATGCACGTATAGTGAAAGCCAGAGCGGCTTATGCCAGTCTGGGCCACCTTTTGGCGTTTTCGTGATGTCAGTCTGGCTGTACAAGGTCGGATTTACAGCGCGTCAGTGAGAGCAGTTTTGGTCTATGCTTGTGAAACCTGGCCTCTCCGAGTTGAGGATGTTAGACAACTATATATGGTTGATCATCGTTGTCTCCGAAGCATCGATGACATCCAGTGGCAACACCATGTTGGTAGTGCAGAGGTTCAGCATCGTGTGTTCGGGCAAAAAGACGATAAGTCTATTGCTGTCATTATCTTGAAACATCGACTTCGGTGGCCTGGACATGTTGTACGAATGTCGTCCCAGAGAATTCCACGTCGTGCATTATTTGCCGACTCTAGAACTGGTTGGAAAAGGCAGAGAGGTGGTCAAAGTATGACATTGTGTCGTGGTATGAAAGAAAGCTGCAAAAGGTTGGCTTCTGTTGGTCCCTCTCGACTCCCTGGCTGGGGTTCGAGAGATAGTGCGACACAATGGGTAGGGACGTTATCAGATATGGCTCAGAATAGAAGAGAGGCGATCCTGCTGTGACCTTCCTTTACTTTCTTCGTAAAAAGTGGTTGTAACTTTCTTAACTGAAAGAATCCTTCTGGTTGTACCTTTGCGTTTCCCCCACTATTATTATTAATATTACTCTACCATACACTTATCTGTAGTCGTTAT